ACCCGCAAAGACAAGATTGGCTCCCCAAGGAGCGTCATAATACGCTCTACGGACGGAGGTTAAGGTGAGTTTGGGAAGAACGAAGATGCGAAGAACGAAGAATGCTAAACGTGCTGTTAACTAGTTTAACCTAACTAAAGTACGCCAACAAAGTTGTGATTGGAGTTTACTTAACATGAACTCTAGTATTGTGGTTTATCCTCCTCCGGCTAGTTGCCATAAAAATGCCACATTACCAAGGCCCGCAAAAACAAGTTCGGCTCCTAAAGGAGCATCATAACCCGCTCTACGGACCAAGAGTAAGATGAGTTTGGGAAGAACGAAGATATGTTAGAGTGAAAGACAGAAGAGTTAGAAAGACAGCATAGAGAATGCGGACAGAATTGCATCCGTTGTTAGAAGGTTCTAAAACGTATTGTTAGACTTGATTGGAGTTCACTTGATATGAGGTTTTGTGCGCAAGCTAATTGCCTTGTGGAGGCCACATTACCAAGGTCCGCAGAGACTAGTTTCGGCTCCTAAAGGAGCGTCATAACCCGCTTTACGGACTAAGAGTTAGGTGAGTTTGGGAAAAACGAAGATATGTTAGAGTGAAAGGCAGAAGTAGTCGTGTAAGAAAGATAGCATAAAAAAAGCGGACAGAATTTCACACATTGTTAGAAGGTGCAATAGTACTGTTAGTAGATCAGACAAAGACTTGGAGAGTTCACTTGAGGTTTTGTGGTTTATCCTCCACCAGGTTATTGCCTTGTGAAGGCCACATTATCTCGGTCCGCAGAGACTTGTTTCGGCTCCTAAAGAAGCGTCATAACCCGTTCTACGGACTAAGAGTAAGGTGAAATTAGGAAAAACGAAGATATGTTAGATTAAAGGCAGAAGTAGTCGTGTTAGAAAAATAGCATAGAATTAGCGCGCATAAATGCAAAACGTACTGTTAGCTAGGTTAACCTAAGTATAGTACGCCGACAAAGTTTTGATTGGAGTTCACTCAACATGATCCCTGGTATTGTGGTTTAACCTCCTCCGGCTAATTGCCATATAGAGGCCACTTTACCAGGGTCCGAAAAGACTAGTTGAGCTCTCGAAGGAGCGTCATACCCGCTCTACAGACTGAGAGTAAGGTGAGTTTGGAAAGAACGAAGATATGTTAGAGCGAAAGATAGAAGTAGTTGAGTTAGAAAAATAGCATAGAGTAAGCGGACAGGGTTGCACACGGTGATAGAGGGTGCAATACGTGTTGTTAGTTAGGTCACTTGACTAATGTACGCCGAAAAAGTTGTGATTGAAGTTCACTTAGCATGAGCTCTTCCTCAACTTTTTTTTTTTTTTTTTTTTACAACTTTAATAAATTTACACATCGTTACGTTATAACTACATGACATAATATAATCTCACGTAAAATATAAGATAATAATACCACGTATAACATAGCATAATAAAAATTGGTTTAACAAGTATATCTAAGTATAGCGTATTTTAATAGTGTTTCTTATCATAAATGATACCAGTATTTTAAAAAAATAAAAGAATAAAAATAAGAAAAGAAAAAAAAAGACAAGAAATTCTTTGGTACTTCAGATATATACATGTTGTTGTAAGAAAAAACTCGTAGAAGTCTATGAAGACTTATCATTGAGTACCTCTTTAAAAGGTTAAATAAACTCTATTTTATTTTTATATATAGTAAAAAGTGGTTAAACAATATACAATCAGTGAAACACTTAAATATTTTAATATAAATTTTAAAGTTAAGTTTAATACATGTCGATATAATTGTTGTTATTATTTATGAGGTGTTTTAATTTATTTTTCAAGTTGGCAGCATTATTTAATACTTTAAGTTCTATAACTTTGGATATGATTTTTTTATAGAGGTACGGACCCCGGTAGGAAATAGAAAACAGTGAAAACTTTGTTGTTCTTTTGGGCAGTGTGAAGTTGCCTGTTGCTCTTGTCATATACCTATTAGAGTTTACTTGAAAGAAGTTATCTAAGAAATGCGATGGGACTAGTCCAAGTTTGTATTTAAGCATAAATAAAACATTTTGGTAGATGTTGATTTGGTAAACATTTAATGCATTCAAGGATTTTAGTAAGGGTTCAGCATGGGTCAGTTTATCTTTATTATAAACTAATCTTGATGCATATTTTTGACTTATGTAAATAGTACTCAATTTGGATTTGTGTGTACTTGCCCATGTAATATTAGCGTATGTAAGATAACATTGGATGTTAGAAAAATAAAGCGATTTAAGTTATGTTGGGATAACATAGGTTTAACTTTGTAGAGTATGCCAATATTTTTTGAAATTTTGGTGTTAATTGAACTTATATGGGCTCTCCAAGACATATTTTTGTCAATTAGTATCCCAAGAAATTTAGTTGTTTCTGTTCTTTCAATATTTAACTTATCTATTTTTAGTGAGGGAAGGGTAGTTGGTATTTTTTTGTTTTTTTGAATGAAACAATATGTATTTTGTTTTTTGTGTATTTAGTGATAACTTATTTAATTTCAACCATAAATTTTTTTTGTCGTCTTCCTCAACTTTCTTTTTCTTTCACTTATGAGATTTTTTTTTTTTTTTTTTTTCGATTGTGATTTTTAATAATGTGGTTTATCCTCCTCCGGCTAATTGCCATATAGAGACCACATTACCATGGTCCGAAAAGACAAGTTCGACTCCTCAATGAGCGTCATAACCTGCTCTACGAACCGAGAAGTAGTTGAGTTAGAATGATAGCATAGAGAAAGCGCACACAAATATGTAACCTTGAAAAGTACAATATTTTCATCATAATTTCAGTAATTATTTGCATTTTTAAAAAGTTGTTGAAAATTATAAAATATTCTTAAAAAAGCCTAATCTTTCCTCTTAACCTCGCTAGGTTAACCTAACTAGAGTACGCCGACAAATTTTTGATTGGAGTTCACTAAACATCAACTCTTCCTCAACTTTCTTTGTCGGCTTCCTCAACTTTCTTTTTCTTTCACTTATGCAAATTTTTTGACTTACCAGGACTTTGTATTACTATTGTAAAAATAAAATAATGTATTTGTTCTGTTTTAGACATACCCCATTCCAAGAATAGATCTTCTGAAAGCTATGCAAACTTGCCTGAGGTTTACTGATGTTCCTGTTCAACTGAACTTCTTAGAAATCTACATTCTTTCTCGTCTGTCAGTCACTTTTAAGGAGGTTGGAGACACATTGGGAGAACTCAGGCAAAAAAGCAGAAGTTTTTTGGTCAGTGTAGAAAAAGTATACAAGAAAAATTCCTACCACATTGACAGGCTCACCGAAAGTGCAACAAAAGGAAATTTCACTCCAAAGATTTTACTCTCACTGTTTTAATCTCACTGTAGGTATTCAGAGGAAGAAAAATCTCAAATTAAAGTAAAAGAAGAAAACGTCAAGAAAGATTTCAAGGACTACCTTTGTTTTTATGTGGACCAACGCAGAGATAGTGGATCTGGCACAACAACAACAGGAAATTTTGTAAGAGTAGCTGACCAAAACCCAGCTTAAGATCATGAGAATTAAAAAAAATTATTATTTTCATAAATTTTTCCCAACAATTGAAAGAAGGCAATTTTTTCCCAACAATTGGAAGAAGGCAATTACGCAATCAAGAAGAAATTGGTTCATGATTTTAGCCATGATTTTTTAAAACTTCTTTTCAGTGGTCACAGCTCAAATTTGTGGTATTCCTGAATCTCTTGTCTGAAACTTGGCTATTACTTGGGGCGCACTGGCTTATAGATTTGCCTCGGATTCTAAAGCATTTGGTTGGCTCTGTGATGAAACTAAGGTAATCTACTTTGGTCATTGCAATTGGAATCCAATCACTCCAACTCTTCGCAAAGCTCTCTGTCATGGTAAGGTTTTGGTTGAAAAGTGTCCCCTGCCTATTGGATTGACAAATGAAAAGCCCGCAAAAGATTGACAAATGAAAAACCCGCCATTCTTTCATGCGCTTGACCTGATCTGATCATGCCAAGAAGACTTCATGGACTAATGGTTTAAAAGACTTGTTTTTGCGTTTGGTTGATTTAAGTAATCATGTGATCATAAGTTTGTCAATAAAACACAAAAAATAAAAGATTCATTCAAAACCTATATCCAATGAAATCAGAAAGTTGCTTTTACCTGCCGTCTGGCAAGTAGTTGGGGATTCTGAAAATGACCTTTGAGTCTTACTGACTATAGTTTTGAAAAAATTTGCGAATGACACTCAGTTTTTAGTGTATTTATTCAATTTTAATATTTAAAAGTATATTCAAGTTAGTTAGAGTAAACTTATGCCTTCGATGAAATTTTTAATATTTATGTCTTTATTTATTTATTTAATATTTTTTACTTTTTTTTATTTTGTGTTAAAATTAATTTTTTTTCTAATTTTAACTATTTTTAACCAAAATGACTAAAAAAGACCCTAGAAATAGTTTTTTTGCCATTTCATAGCTCAGTTGACCACTGTGCAGCTTCAAATAAAATCCCGCAAGTTATAAACATCTAGTTATATAATAATATATCACATTGCTGTAATAACCGAGAACCGGTTATTTATAATAAAACTTATTTTTAGTAAATCTAAGAAATTTTTTTTGTTTTAAATTTTATATTTTCGAATATACTCTATAAGTTTCTTTGAAAAAAAAAAGTATATATATCTATTACGAATTTCCTGAAGCTTGTTGCAAATATTTTAAAATAAACCCAAAGAACTTATTTGTTAATTATGGGGGAATAATTTATAGAGAGAAACAGGAAAGAAAGGTATAACTAAGTAAACTTTTTTTTATCACTTATTTTGACATTCAAAGTATTTAGAAGGATAGTTATATCCTTCTAATTTACAATATCCAAGGGTATACCAGTTATTAACTATCGTATTAACCCGGTATACCCGTGGTATAAATGAACATAAACTAGCCTCGATTTAATTACCCTAGCAACATCGGCTTCCGGACAGTTTGAGATAACATGATATATTTTTTATTAAAAAAAAACAAACCGACTTGCATGGTTGGTAGTTTGTTTACCTTAATAATTTGTCTGCCCTGAATGTTTTGTATGTAATTATATTTCTCGAAACTTTAAAAGCTATAATAATGTTTGTTTTTAATAAAAATAATTCGACCGTTAAATGAAATGTCTTCTCTTAATGAAAAAAAGTATCTCCAAAAGATTAAGAGTTTGCAACAATCAATATTATTTTTGCAGAAGGAGCATAGTGAAACTCTATCGGGTTTATATAAGGAGATATCAAAACTTCAAGAACAATGTAGTGGTAATGCTATTATTTTTTAAAGTATTTATTTTCTAACGCATAGGTCTTA